TCAAATTCCCTCAAATTCCCAAATTCTCAAATTCCCAAATTCTCAAATTCCCAAATTCTCAAATTCCCAAATTCTCAAATTCCCAAATTCTCAAATTCCCAAATTCTCAAATTCCCAAATTCTCAAATTCCCAAATTCTCAAATTCCCAAATTCTCAAATTCCCAAATTCTCAAATTCCCAAATTCTCAAATTCCCAAATTCTCAAATTCCCAAATTCTCAAATTCCCAAATTCTCAAATTCCCAAATTCTCAAATTCCCAAATTCTCAAATTCCCAAATTCTCAAATTCCCAAATTCTCAAATTCCCAAATTCTCAAATTCCCAAATTCTCAAATTCCCAAATTCTCAAATTCCCAAATTCTCAAATTCCCAAATTCTCAAATTCCCAAATTCTCAAATTCCCAAATTCTCAAATTCCCAAATTCTCAAATTCCCAAATTCTCAAATTCCCAAATCCTTAAATTCCCAAATTCTCAAGTTCCCAAATTCTCAAATTCCCAAATCCTTAAATTTCCAAATCCTCAAATTCCCAAATTCTCAATATTCCCAGACCTACATATCATCAAAGGTCTAAGCTTCCAAATTTTCAAAATTCCCATATAGCGCTTGAGAATGTAAAAATATTGCGGTACCTCATATGTACCTCATATGTCCCCTCATATATACCTCATATGTACCTCATAATCAATCTTTAAAAAATTTTCAAAGAATCACCTTCTCACATAATGACGTATTTAGTATAATTTTAAGTGATATATGAGAGTTGCTTTTATTAATCACTGGTATTTATTTTCCAGATATCAACCAAGTGATTAGAGTCCTTCTCGAGCGTGGAACAGCCACGCTGATGCGACATTTTCCTCGCTCTTTTTCCACCTAGTCTTGTACTCCAGTACAAGAGGGTAGTTGTTACGGTCTTTGAACTGCAACGGAAGCTGCTGCCCGCAGGGAACAGCGGGGCATGGAAGATGAACGCGACTGACGAAGGATTAAAGCTAGAGTGAAAGCAGCGAAGAATTGAGAAAATTATTCGGAGCAACGAAGATGAGGCAGCGTGCTGCGTTCTACCTACTTTCGTTGCTACTTTTCTCGTTGGCCAGTTTTTGTGGAGCTTTCGTTGAAACTCGGGGTAAGTAAACGTACTTGGTTAACAAAGAAAGTTCGATAACTTTCGGGTGACTGATTTCGTTCAAACTTTCAAATCTTTTTATTCTACTTATTTTGTTGTTTCATAAATTGTTATTTGCATTATTATTAACGTTGTCATTTTATTTATTTAATTATTACTTTGTAATTATATCTGTCAAAAAATTAACTCGGGTCTGTTTTGTGATATTCTTTGAAAGATTTGTTATTCAAGTTTGAGTATTTTTATATCAAAGTTATATTTGAAAATGTGTGTTACATTGTTTGGTATGATTCTTTAGTTTAACAAGAGTGGAGTCTAATTGAAAGCACTTCAAGATTTAAATAGAATTTACTGAATTAATATTACATTTGTAAACTGTACGTCAGTTGCTGATAGATAAAATAAAGGAAATAATAAGTTGGTACTATTTTACTTAGTGCAAACATTTAATTATTCAATTGCAAGACACAAATCAAACCATCTTAAGGCTAGAAAGGTTAATCTTATATTTGTTTAAATAGATGTGCGTACTTACAATAGATGGATGTGCGTAGAACAGAGAGCGCATGCGCAGAACAGGCAGCGCATGCGCAAATCAACGAATGCAGCGCAGTTCATGCTGAGACTTACTTGAATAAATGTTCTAATGAATTTGATACAAAAATTATAACATAGACATTTTATTACTAAACGAAACGTGCCAAAATCACTAAATACAAATGTTTTTCATCATACAATACCTTTTCAATCATTTCCTTTAATGTTCAAAATATTTTTTAATACAGCTACTACTTTTAATATTAATTTGCATCGATATTTTACAAGCTTGCATACCCTAATCTTTTAAAAAATTTTCAAACTCGTGTATCTCAATCTTGTATGAAATTTTCAAACTTGCATATTCTAATCTTTTACCAAATCTTCAATTTATATCTTTTTCACTTATATGTTCCAACCGTTTATGAACTTCTCAAATTATTGTAAAGTGTGTCTCAATATGCAATATTTTAAAATATTGATTTATTAAAAAACTTTAATTATGAACAGACTGATCTGACTATAACAAAATATACTGACTTCACAAATAAACTTCGTAATTACTATATTAAATAATAAAAGTATATAAATTTTATAGGTGACCATAAGCACATATAAAACTCGGTAAAATTTACGATGAAATTTTCATGGACCTCCGGGCTTTTTAAAGCACGGATTCAAGTTTCGAGAAATACTCTGAACTCATCCCGCGCAGACAGTACAAATACCGTTTTATTAACAGTTTAATCCTCGCTTTATGCTCTGGCCAACCCTCTCTAATAACTTTCAACAACTCGTACATTGCTAGCTCATCGTTTGATTCGCTCACGATTTTCCCAGATTACGACTAGTTGCAAGCGCTAGAGTTTTTACATAAAAAGAACAAGCTTTAGTCCAAATATGATGACACTTATTTTAGCATAAAGAAAATTAAATGAAAGGTTGATCAAGGTTCAAATAAAATTACGTATGTAACGCACGTTATTTTTAAATGTTACGTGCATTGTTAAGTACAAAACTAAAAAAGTAGTAAAACTTTTAAATAAAATTTTTTAAATAAAATTTGTTAAATAAAAAGAAATTATGTCCTTTGATAAAAAAGATTTAAATTATCTTGCTCTCCATTAATTTAAATGAATATTAATTCTTTATAGCTCGGTAAAATCTCCAAAGCCCCAATAACAGGGAATTATCGAACGATATCCATTGCATTTGATTTCCAGCTTTTTCGACAAGCAGAATAAACAGTGAAGAGCACACTGACATGTTAAAAAGTCGTTTATTGCCATTCACAAACGAAAACAAAAAGGTAAATTGAACATTTCAACAAACGAACAACTATAACATGATTCTGGGAACAGAAAATTTATTTCCTGCGGTGGCCAGTATATCTCCCTGATCAAAATGCGATGAAAAATATGTGAAGTAACATCGGTACAAAAATATGTGCTTCGAACAAGCAGAATAGGAATATATCAAAATAACTGCAATCGCAACAGCGCACAGTACACCGAATAAAAAAAATTTACAGACGAAAATCAATTATTTTGTTTTTTTTTTTTATTCTTTCATATTTCTGTGTATTGTATTGATATCAATGATTTTTTGTAAAGTAAAAATGTACGTAATCAATTTGTTATCACTGTTTATAAATTGTATTATTATATCTTAAATTATATTATACGTCTGTAAATAAATAATAACGTAAATATAGTGTAATTTAATGTAGCTTACGTAAAAAATAGAAATTCGATTATCGAAAATGTTTCCATTTGTAAAAAAATCGGGTTTATTCTAAAAAATAATTATTAAAAGATGACTAAGTAGGAACAGCTAATTTTCCGCAATATTTTATAGAATGTGTCTACAGGAATATTTTAGAAAAGATTAATTAATATCAGTGAAAATGGACGACCTGATATTACGAATATACCACACATGTCTGCTATTTTCATTTCTGTTGCGAAAATGAAAAAAGTAAAACAAGCCATTATTAAAATGAAGAGTATTTGCTTTTGGTATAATATTCTACCGAAAATGTACATTGTTACCTGTTTCATAATATAAGAACGTTTATTACATTAAAAGTCAAATTATAATACTTTTACACGTAATAGAACATTATTAAATAACTAGAAATGATTTACAAATGTTATTATAATCATTTTATGGTCACTAGGTATGCTTGAAAATCAAAATACATATCGTTATGAGGACTGGAGGAATTATAACTAATGCGACTGACTAATCATTGATTTACACTACTTAAATAGTAACGTAGTTAGAGGTATACAGATTTACATACATACATATATTGAATAAATGAATAGTTGTTCTTCTGTGTACTCTGGAAAATTCAAGTATAGAACAGAGTAAACTATGTTCAATTTTGGAAATTTAAGCAAATGTAATCATATAAAAATTGGTTTATTTAGTGTAAAAGTACCTGCACTTATGGACTGATCTATTCGTTAGAGAATTATTAAATTATTAGGAATTTGCAAGTTTGAAAATTGGGAAATTGGGAAGATTGGGAAATTTCAAAAATTTATAAATTGGGAAATTTAGAAAATTTGAGAAACTTGGGATTTTGGGATAATTGGGAAATTTGGAAATTTGGAAATTGGGAAATTTGGTAAATTGAGATTGAGAAACTTGGAAATTTGGAGAAATGGGAAATTGGGAAATTTGGAAAGTTGAAAAGTTGTAAATTTGGAAATTTGGAAAAATGGGAAATTGGGAAATTGGGAAATTGGGAAGATTGAGAAGATTGGGAAATTTGGAAATTTGGAAATTGGGAAATTTGGTAAATTGAGATTGAGAAACTTGGAAATTTGGAGAAATGGGAAATTGGGAAATTTGGAAAGTTGAAAAGTTGTAAATTTGGAAATTTGGAAAAATGGGAAATTGGGAAATTGGGAAATTGGGAAGATTGAGAAGATTGGGAAATTTGGAAATTTGGAAATTGGGAAATTTGGTAAATTGAGATTGAGAAACTTGGAAATTTGGAGAAATGGGAAATTGGGAAATTTGGAAAGTTGAAAAGTTGTAAATTTGGAAATTTGGAAAAATGGGAAATTGGGAAATTGGGAAATTGGGAAGATTGAGAAGATTGGGAAATTTGGAAATTTGGAAAGTTGAAAAGTTGTAAATTTGAAAATTTAGAAAGTGGGAAATTTGGAAAATTGAAAGTGGGAAACTTGGAAAATGGAAAAGTGGGAAATTTAGAAAGTTGAAAATTTGAAAATTTAGAAATTAGGAAATTTGGAAAATTGAGATTGGGAAACTTGGAAATTTAGGAAAATGGGGAATTGGAAAATTGGGAAATTGGGAAAATGGGAAATTAGAAAATTAGGAAATTGGAAAATTTGGAACATTTGGGAATTAGAAATTTGGAAAGTAAAAATTTACAAATGCAGAAAGCAATTACATATATATTAAGCACTTCAATGAACGTCAAGATATAGTTCCACAGCAGTACCCCTACTATCCTTCATAATTTCAACAAATTCTCAACAATAAATCTAAAATCCATCATTATACCATTAATTGTTCTAATATAAACAATTCTAAAGTTACCAGATACGTGTCGCTGCATACGATTAATTATATCGAGTATTGTATACTCTCCTGTCACCCCATCGGTGCTTAGGAATTTTTCGCAAAGGGGTGAAAGCTTTGAATATTCATAGAATCCACTTCGAGTCGAACATGATCCAACGGTTCCACAACGTGACAATCATGTCTGATTTTCTCTTAATTTGAGTTATTCCTCGTTCATCGGTATTTCAATTACGTCGTACAAAGCAGGCGCCATTTAAATTCCTCGTATTCGTTACGAGTCGGATTAAACAATTTGTTGATTGTAATTATTCACATGCTTTTTTTGTCTTGCTTGTGTTACGGTTGAAATACAAATCTGCCCTGATAAAACCTTTTTCCTAAAAAATGATTAAACATTTTAATTTAACCTTCACCTTTAAAAATGTTAATGTACAAAAATTGATATGAAAATTAAATTGTAATGAAAAAAAGTAACATCGAAGCAAAAATTGTAATGACAAAAAAAATAATGAAGCAAAAATTGTAATGAAAATTAAATTGTAATGTAAAAATAATTTTTCATAAGGCTGTTCAACAATATCATAATTCAATAATTTTGTAGTATATTATCAAACTTATAAAATATAGTCATAACTGTATCTAAATACATATAATTAATTTGAAGAGGTTATCAAATTTTGTTAATAATAATATATAATTGTTTTAGTGTGTTTTCTTGTGGTAGCAATGAAAGTAATATGTTCGAATTAAGCAAGACCATGTGTACGTAACATACAAGTCTCACTTAATTCCAGCATATATTATTTCCATTGCCGCAGAAAAAATAAGTAATAGGAGCTTTAGAGCGCTCAACCATGTTAAATTCCTGAAACCACATAATCCTCTGATATTTATTTTTT